AATTCTCCCTTTTGGTTCTCACTGGAAATACATCTTAGCTACTTCAGCACACAAGAGTACCACTTCAGGCCAATGAAGGCTATAGGATTTATTTGCTACCACTTCTACAAAAACTGAATAGGTACATTTAGCCTTCATTAAAGAAACTCAGTTCTTGGGCCGGGGATTTAGCTCAGCACCATAGTGCTTGCCTGGCAAGCACAAGGTGCCCAATTCGATACCCGGTACCAAAAAAAAAAAAAAAAGAGAAAGAAAAAGAAACCCAGTTCTTAAAATTTGTTCAAAATATTATGAATGTGACTGTGTTACTAGCAAGAGTATACAGAATATGAAGGCAAGAGGAATTCTTCAGTGATCACTGTTTGAGTTAGTGCATTTGACTGCTAATATAACTCTGCTATTTTTCTCACAATTCTTCATATGGTTTTGAGTTTATCTTAAAAGATCAACCTAGTGGGGCCTGGGATTTAGCTCAATGGCACCGTGCCTGCCTCACAAGCCAAGGTCCTGAGTTCGATCCCCGGTACTTCAAAAACAAAACAAAACAAAAGGTCACTCTTTCTAGAGGAAAAGTGTAATAATAACTAAAATACAGTATTTGTAAGGTTTATCGCATTAAGAATTGATTAACTTGATGTAAACTTTAACAAACATTGAAAATAAATTTCTGAATTTAAAATGTAAATAGGGTAATATTTCTTATAAGAGAAAATCAGTGAATATGTTTTTGAAGATGGTATACTCATTCATTATTTTCATCTAAATGTTCTCCAAAACTCTAAATGTTGCTTGCCACATATACACTTAAAAAAACATATTATGTTATACAAATGAAGGAATGTGTAAATCAGCACATGTTGGATGGGATAATTTTATTTCAGTGAATGTCTAGAATGTAATAAACAGATGTCAAAAGACATGAAACCTTATTCATGTAACAAGTGTTTATTGAATACTTACAATTCTACTGGTTCCCATGAGAAGCTCACAAAAAGGAAAAAACACAACCCCATACACTGAAAATAAAAGAGACTATTTTAAAGATCTTATTGGGTTTCTACCAGGATTTTACTGAAATATATCATAAATACCTGTCATTAGAAAATATGAATTTACTCTACTTCAAAATACAGTTTTATTACACATGTAAGAAAACTTGTTACAGGTTAAGTGTCAATTTATAGTGAAGACTTACCAAATTTATAACAGAAAAGTAAGTTCCATCTTTCAGAATATGTGGTATGTAGTTCTGAGACCTTAAATGGACCACATAATAGTATAATTACAGCTTAAAGCCTAAGAGAATCTCTTTTCTAGGTTTAATCCTGTTCTTAATGATAGCATTTATTGTCTCCTAGAAATCAATTCAAGAAATCAAGTTAGTCCACTAGGCACTTCAGATAAGGCAATTCCATGAAGCACTCCAAGATTATCACAAGAAATTGCTGTTGTGGTCATAAAACAAGAAATAAGCAGAACGTGGCCTACTGAAAGAGGTTACAGTTTTACAGCCCCTCCCATTTCAGCACTTAAGTCACTCAGTTACAGTTAACTATGGATTACCACTCACAGAATGAAAGCAAGACAGTCATCACACACACTGGGCTTGTGCTGCCACTGCATGTGTCTTTCAGTCAATGATGAGGGTGTCAGAACCAATACTGGACATGGAAATGGGAAATTACAGTGAAGTTTTGGATCCAGCTTACACAACTTTGGAGTTTGAAACTATGCAGATTTTATATAATTCAAATGGTGAGTTATCATCTACTCATAAAATATAAAAACAATGAGAGCAAAACCGAGTGTCCTGGGGTGGTGGCTCAGTGGTTTACTGCTGGAAAACTCAAGGCCTGCTTTTAAGGCCACAAATCTGAGCTTTTCTACTTCATCACAGAATTTCAATTAATAACGCTGTGGCTATATCATGTTAGAGATGAGTAGCCTCATTTTGTGTAATAAAGTAACCTCAGAATCCTGGCATGGGCTAGTTAAGATCTAAAAGTAGTAGTTTTAGAAGTTATTTTATTTGCTGTAAATCATAATAATAAATAATATTGGCAGATTGGCTGTGCAAGTGTGTATTCTATAGAATATTTAAAATGAATTGTGGAACAAAATTTCTGTAGAACAGTAGAGAGTTTTATTGTCTCCTTTCGTTATGCTAGTTCTCAATTGCTGCTGATGAGAAATTGCTTTTAAAATGACTATCAAATTTTTGCATTGAAGACAGATATGAAAAGAAATAAAGGTTTATATTATAATCTCAGTTGACATGCTAATGTTTAGCTGCACAAGGCTCTTGGCATTTATCTACTGTAACATTTTAACTTTAAATAAGACATGAATTGTTTAGGGATCCTATCTTTATGTAATTCAGTTTGCTGTTGACTTTGAATTTAGATGTTTTCTTCAAGTAAAAGTCTTGTTCAAGATAGAATTTAATTGTCAGAAATTCTGATATCTCATAATTATGTGTACTTTGAGAGTGTGTGTGTGTGTGAATATTTCATTTTAAATTATGAAAGTCTCTTATGGCAGGAATATTTTAATGTTCTACTATACTGTACAATTTGTCTGATTGATACTTTGGTTATATTTCCAGTTGGCAATAGCTTGTTAGTGAAGTTTTTACAACTTGTCAGAAAATAAATTCTAAAATTTAAGCATAAGTAGAATAAAATAAACCTGTAGTGAAACTCTTAGGAAATTACTATTTTGATTATATATATTTAATAGAGTATTTATCTCAATAGAATCATTACCTCAAAGAGTCTAGATTCCTAAATGTAGGACAGATTTACCCTAAATATTTA